ACCCTAAATAATCAGCCTTGGCTTACTCTGCATACTCAGCCTCAAGTTCTGTATGTGGACATGCACCCAAATAGCAATCCCTTTCTATCTATGGCCACGTTTCTTCCTCACCACATATGACAGCATCCTCCTTTGCAATGTCAGGACGATCGCCACCACCTGGCCAGGCTTTTTTGTAGCACAGCAAGAGAAGGAAATGCCCATTTACATTCTTCTCCATATTCAAGAGGGTATTTAACAAATGCGGGACCCTAGTCTAAAAATGAGTCATTACCTTCAACATTTTTAAGGAATGAACGCTCTCCTGTCGCTTTAAACTCGGATGATCACCCACCTATCTCTGTAGATGGCAAGGGTCTTCATCTTCAGTGGCCTCTGGTCTCCGGCGGCGAGAGAGAAGAGGTGTTTCTCCTGTGTTATAGTCCAACCAGTGAAGAATGGGTTACCTTGGTATCAGGAGCCTTCAATTCTTCACACCATGCACAAATCTCTACATCACGGGCACAGAGAAAGGCTGAAGGTGTTATTACTATCCAAGGAGCATTTCATTTTGTGAAATCCAGTGTTAATTCCTAGTTCTTGCAATCCCAGTTCCAAAGGAGGTTACTACTATTATTCCCGAGGGAGAGAAAGACAGCGATACCGCGGTGGTTGAACACCTCCAAGCTCAAACGTCCCACTGCTTGAACAGCAAAGTTCGCTAAAAATCTGCCCAATGTTTGCACCTTAGCTCAATACTCAACCAAAAATCCGACTTGAAAAACCGGCCAAGAGGGCCATGTGTGAGTCTCGCAGTGGCCACAAAGGGCTGAACCTTCCGCCTAAGCCCTGTTCTCACTCAGACCACAGAGAGCGCTTGTGTTCGGGCATTAACACATACATTTCTCATCGTGCTTTCCTTCACGTTCCATGGCTGCAAGGAAAGTTGGTGGCACCGCAGTAAAATGAAGAGGAAAGCCGTGAGAACGACGATAGAGTTAAAAAGAAAGAAATCATTGAGACAGTTGAATCAGGTCGCCGCTTCTCTGATTTGATGGTTGAATATGAAAATGGCTAAGTAGACATTATTAACATTTTTGAAAAACAAATGTGATTAAAGCTGCTAATTTAGCAAAAGGTGTGTAATGTTAACCATGAAACAAAGAACCCAGACCGTCAAAGAGGTTGTAAAGTTACTGTTAATTTGAATAAATCAGAAATAAATGGTGATAGCATATCTGAGACAGTGATATGTAAGAAGATTAAAAGCCTCCATAGTAATTTAAAGTCCTGGAAAAATGAATTTATAAGTGTAATTTGGGGGCCTCAGAACCAATTATTTGACTTTCCATTATTTCTTAGGGGAAAAACCCCTTTTTGGAACAAATTGAGTTCGATAAGCGAGGTATTTCTGAATTAGTCATTCTTCCTTTTCTAAAAATAATCTTTAAGTATATATAAGGCAAATACTGAGCATATTGTTCTTTTTTTTTTGTCTTTTAAAGTTCTTTATTTAATTTGTTATCATCTTTCTTTTTTTTATTTTTTATCTTTTTTAACATTTTATTAGGGGCTCATACAACTGTTATCCCAACCCATACACACATCAATTGTGTAAAGCGCATTTGTACATCGTTTCTCAAAACATTTTCTCTCCATTTAAACCCCCGACATT